GATCCCCAGGAAGAGCCCACCATCCTTGTCCTCGTCCGAGTTTCTCGAGAGTCTCAGCGACAGCGAGTCTTGAGGGAGCGAAACCGAGAACTTTTTCAAGCCGATGTCCGACTCGGTAGTGATCGATGGCGAGCACGCACTGCCGCTGCCACTCCCACTGTCGGCCTGCCCAAGACCCAGAGCGACGCTGGGTCTAGCCGGGGGCGAGCTCCCAAGCGCCAGGACGATCTCCTGCTCGCCAAATTCCCAGCTTCCAGCCGCGTCCCTCTTCCTCTTGATGCTCACGGGCGAGCTCGAGAGCTTGTCAAAGTTGCTCCAGGAGAGGGTCTTCTTGAGGCTAGGGGGAGGAGCGGCGGCTTCGCCCGGAGATCCACTGTCGCCCAAGCTCTCCATGCCAATTGAGAGCGTCGTCGTGGGGCTCTCGCAACGCTTGTGCCGCATCTCCAGTCCCCTAAGCTTGGCGAGGGCGCCCTCTCGATCCAGGCCGACGCCGAGGACTGTCCAGCTCCCATAGGTGTCGCCCCTCCTCAGCCTCTGCGTCCCCTCCATGGCCGCGAGCACTGAAATCTGGAGCTCCTGGCCAGAGAATGCGTCAATTCAGCCTTGGATCTTGGGGAATTCGGCCGTCAAGAGGACTGATCACGTACCTGGAGTTGTCCGCCGCTGCGCTCCAGCGCGACCTAGGGCGCCATTCCCAAGCCCTTTTAGGGCAACAGCCGGCAGGTTGAAGGTTCGAGTACTGTCAAAGCAATCAAATGGACAAACGTGTCCGCGGCTCCGCATCACATCGAAAGTAAAAGAGAAACAGACTCGTGAGTCGTCTAAGTAATGGAGTTGAAAGTTCTTAAAACCAGCATCTCCACCAATGAGAGAACCACTAGCAACACTCGCTTTTTAATCTTCCTCATTATTTGCTTATACGGCATCTAAGGGATGATGAACGGGAAGGTCGGCACGAATCTGTGCCGACCTTCTCGTGCCTTGAGCAATTTGAGAATGAGTACCGAACTATGTGCCAAATGACTTGGCCCGACCTTTACAGCCCTTATTGCTAGCCCATCATAATTTATAAATCTTCTTTATCTGGAAGTGTATTAAGTAGAAATTAAAGATAAAAACATTATTTAATGTATAAAAAATTTCCCAAAAGACACTTTTATCACTCATTTGATGTCAAATAAAGACATTTAAGTTAAGGTAATAAATACTGAATAAGAAGATTCAAAAATCTTTAAATGGCTTATGTAAAATACTTCTTCATTTTAATATTGATTGTGTTACAGCTTTAGATAATAGTATTTGTATTAATAGTTAATGTTTGTATTTTTTGTCAAAATTTATTCAATTTTTTCCTCCAAAAATGTTGAGAAATTATCATCTGAAAAATGATAACATCCAATTTTTTTTTCCTATCTTTATCATAAAGAAGGTATAAGTTTTTTAATAGTTTTTACACTTAGAAAGGGAAAGGTATAAGGATTTTATAATTAAGAGTTTTAAGCATCAATACCTATAACTTTTCATTTAAAATAACAATACTCTTTTTTTAATTTGGAGATGGTTAAACCATCTATTTTTATTTATTGCAAAAAATCTATCTAAATATTAACAAATTTTTTTTTTAACTATATGCTTATAATTCCAATTAAAATATTTAGTATAATATTCTAAAACCCCCTAAACCTTAAACCCCCCGCTTACCAGGAGTTAGTATCTAGGACAAGATTGAAACTTACTAAATATGGAATGCCTTTAGATTATAAATTTGGACACAGGATTAACACCATTGTGTTCAGGATAATCTTTACATTTTGTAAATATGCCTAATTAGAAAATCTAAACACTTTCTATAAATAGCAATTGGAATTGAACAAGATTAATACAAAGGGTACGACAGCAAGGGTGTTTGGCAAACACAGTAAGCTATTATCTAGTGATATTGAAAGACTAGTCTTAATACATAAAGGTTTTTATCAAGCTAATTGTGAGACACAAATCCCTAAGCCCCAAAGTGGAGTAGAAAGGGTGTCACATGGTAGTGGTTGAAACAGAAGTCTAATAAGCATAACATGTTTAGATTAAAGACTTTAATTTGGAAAGTCGAGAGTGGGAGTGGAATTCTAAACAAAGTGTTTGAAGGATGAGCATAAAGCAATTGGTAAATAAATTTCTAAAAAAAGACATAAAAAAGACTAACATATAGCAAGTGTCGTGACACATAAAAGTGTCAGAAACGAATCCAAGGAGTCCGAGAAGGGGTTCTAAATGGAGTTCAAAATGGACCCAATATGGAATTCGAGATGGAATTGAGATGAAGTCTAAAGTTAAGGTTGAGAAAGAAACCAAGATTGAGACCAAGATTGAGTTCAAGTCCAAAGGTGAAAGCCCAAAGCAATTGGTGAGCTCCAAAAGTATAAAAAGGGGA